TTTCTAAAGAATGCTTTCAGCACCTTGTTGAATCAATGCCACGTAGAATTAAGGCAGTTCTGAAGGTGAAAGGGGGTCAAACACCGTATTAGTATGGTGTTCCTAATAATCCTTTAGGGGAGTGTACATCGCTCATGTAAAAGCAGCAGAAATAAACTTTAAACTGATTTTTAAACAGCGGCGAAACTTTAACCCCCTCGCTATAATGTCTGTACAGAATTGAAACTAAGAAAAAGTCTAAACATAGCTGACTAGCGATGTAAGAATTGGATGTGCATAACATGCGATGTTTGTATTAATATTGCACATCGTCCAGCCCTGTAATATATTGCAGGCATTTTTTGAATTCAGTACAAAAAACACGCCTTGTGCTGTGATGTCATTTGGTTCCTGTACCAGTTTTTACGGCAGTGGAAAACCAACATCTTGAAGTGCCAAAGATTCAAAGGTGCAATACCTACTGCAGTTGTTTTTTTTATTATTTATTATTTTAATTAAATTACCATTATGATTTCTAAAACACTTCAGTTCATTATAACAAATGTTTTCCTTTAATACCACTATGTAATTATGTGCGTAGTTAAAATTATCACTAAATAAAAAGATGGTTTTACACTTTGCGAAGATCGATAGCACACTACACGGGCATCAGCGCTATGCACAAGTGCCTGAAGAAACAGGCACTACTCTAGACCGCCAGAATAGGCAAAACCCACTGTAAGTGTTGTCTATTTATGTTTATTAAATTATCCTTAATACAGAGAGCTTTTTAATATCTTTCATCCTTGTAGCTGCTAAATACAATCATTATTAAAGCCATAAAGTTGTCTGCCTGCTACCTTAGAATCTCCATAGAGTCAGTGTTTGAGAAAATGTTCAGGCTAAAATCTGGGTCTATTCTACATGGATTGATGGTGCCAGTGTGTGTTCATGTGCATTCGGCTGTTCGGGACCAGTGTCGCTATCGTAAAGTAAAACTGAAACTAAAACGGACACTGAATGAAGTAAATAATTTGTGTACTGAAATCCATCCATCCATCACCGTAACTGCTTAATCCCAACTGGGGTCGCCAGAACCTATCCCAGGAACAATGGGCGCAGGCAGGAAGCAACCCTGGGCAGTTGCCAACACACCACAGGGCGCACATACTCACAGGGCCAACTTAGAGTCGCCAGTCGACCTATCCTGCACACTGTAGAAACCCACACTAACATGCGGAGAGTATGCAAACTCCACACAGAAAGGCCCTTAGCCCGACCCGGAGACCGAACCCGGGACTTTCTTGCTGTGAGGCAGCAGCACTAACCACTGCACCTCCATGCCGCCCAATACTGAAATAAAAATGAAAACTATATTTAAAAAAAATAAAATGTCGCCCGTTAATCAGCAAGAAGCAGCCACACCAGCAGCACCTTTTTGCATAAGGATACACTGAATATATACAGAATACTTCTGGGCATCACAATACACATCTCAATAATATTTTAGACATACCACTAATTTTCTTATAATGTCCGTATAGTGCCGAAAAACTAAACCATTATCTAAAGCCCTGTAATGAGATGGAGTTTGTTGTTGTCAAAATAAAATTAACTTAAACAGTCTGTTTGATTTTCTGGAGGAAAATTAATCGTTTTGATTAATCGACCAATAGTCGATAGATTAATCCATAGAAAAATAGTCATTAGTGGCAGCTCTAGTCCCTTCGAGAGGAAATTTCCTGTTGAAATAATGTTTGGAGATTGAAGCCTGCTTTTTTCCATGCTGAAGTATAGTCTTTCTCCTTGGCAACAATTTAGTTGAGCACAGTTGGTCTGTGTGGTCTTAAAATGATTGGGACTCTAATATATAACTCTGACTTTATTGCTGTGGTAATGATAGCAGTAATTAATATGCTGCGGCAGAGGGGCATAGCAAATGCCCAGGGACATGTAAGGTCCCGAAGGCCACTCACGGTCATGTCACTGGAACATGGTCATGGACCCTTTTGTAACTGTTTCTCTGCGAAAATGAGGATGTTAATCTGGATGGTATTCAAAGTACTGGCCAGTGGCATATGACGCGTTTCCACTGTTGTACAGGAACTGAGCCGTACCCGAGTCCTACGGCAAAGAGAGACTAGTCAGTGCGCTTCCAGCTCGCTTCGGTTTAGGCTTATCAGCTCGGTAAAGGCGTGGCCGGGTTTGGAGAGCAACAATGACGTAAAATCGAGGAGAGGCTTAGTGACTGTTCACATGGTGTACATCATGACTTATTATGTGCTAATATTGCTAGCTCGTCTATGAGAATCGGCATCTTATGTTAGAATTATCATTCCAATGCGTAACTTTGCATTAGGAATCTATTCTGTTCAGCTGTTATATAGTACAATTTTCAAACGTTGTTGGAAATTTTCAGGTTCTGAGTTATCAGGAATGCATCAGTCCATCGCAATGTGTGATGCTACTGACAATAAAAATGTCGTTGTTTTCCTTCAGATAATCCATGCATATTGACCCAGAACACAGGCATCTCCGTGCATTTTGACCAATCAGATGGTGGTGATGCAACCAGCTTGGTTTGGTCATGCTTTCAACACTGCTAGTAAGCAGGGCCATTATTGATATTGTTAGGTATGAAAATTATCATGGTAAAATATTTCGCCATATCAGCCCTTTTGAACATGAGGATTCAGTCCATCTTTGCTGTTTGCACAGAGGATCCTGCTGTTGGTTGTGATGACCGAACGTGTTTCCTTGGTCGCTGCTTTCTTAATCTCCCTGGTTGTTGCTTGTTGGGTGCCTGTATAATTAGTTCCTCTTCTTTTGCTCCTCCTAAACCCTTCAACCCCGCAGACACCCATGGTGACTATTTAGGGTCCCGATGTCATAGTGGGGGCATTCTTGCCCCGAAGGCTGCATGCTCTCATTGGCTGCTGGCATCATCGCAACCTTTGCCTCATGCGCTCAGGGGGTTTAGGGTGACCAGCATCCCGAGGACATGAATTTGACCGACGTGTGATATTTGATCAACACCGTGGCGTGTGAGCCTGAAATAACCACTCGCAAGATTGCATGACAACAGTGTTGAAACAGGAAGTGGCAATAAATTGAGAATTGTACTGGTGTTCGTTAGCGCAGGATCCTCCACACCTGCAAGACCAAGCCGTCCCACAGCTCACAAGCGCCGGCCAAAGCAGTTAGCCTGGCGGCGCTTTGCAGGTGCTGATGTGAACACGCCCGGGTGTGTCTGTGTCTGTGTTATTTTCGAGCACTGTCATCCCACACCCTCAGATCAGATGTTCCTGAGCCCTGATGCTCATGGTGAGGAGCTGCTCACTTTCACATTCCTGTCCTAACAAGTTTTGTCTTGACAAAGTTCATCAGAGGGTTTCGTATTCACAGCCCTTCCTGCTGTGAATACGAACACTGCACAAACGCAGTGGTTACCTGCGACAGTGGAGACCAGGAGGAATGAGGAGGAGGCTCATTCTGCAGAGCGCAGCCGTCCTTCAGCAGCTGTGCTGTTAGGGCACGGTCAAAACCAGAGACCACAGATAACTAACGAGCGGCACTGAGCTGGTACATTTCTGCGTGACTAAAGGAGTTCAGAGCAGCAGTGGCTTATTGATGGACTCTGTGACCACAGTTTACACCCTGCTTTTATTAAATCAGGCTCATTTTATCTGTATTCTGTAAGCATCTGTTACTATTAACATCAGTACTTGATTTCTAAAATCAGAAGGTATCTGAATGTGTACAAAACTGCTAAAAACATGCTATTTATTAAAAAAAATAAATCTAAACTAATATACTTGTTGTTTTATGTTATTGTCTTTCCCGGGTTACAAATGCTCTCCTTTTCTTCGTTATTGGGTTGCAAACCTTTCAGTGATAAATCTTACTTTCCAGTTGTCTTTGTGGCTTCAGATCTGTGAGACCCAGTTTTGATGTGCATAATTCCCAGCACCTGCCAGCCCTGAGAGATGGACCTATCTAGCGTGAGGAGCGGGGGAGGTCTGGCCTTCCAGCTGGTAGCTCGTTCTCCTGCACCTTGGGCTGTGTGGGGCAGCAGGGACAGGGTTTGGAGCAGGAGGCATGGCGTACAGTTAGGAGTCAGGGTCAGTGTGGAGTCCGATCCATAGTCTGTGGACTGATGATCATTTTAGGGAACAGAGCAGTGACCCCACTGGTTCAGGACCAAAATTCCTTTGGTGCAGTAACTAGGTCTGCCTGATGGTGGCGTGAGCCTGGCAGCGTGTCTCGGGGACGGCCGAGCCGAACCCCCAGTGCTGTTGGGTCATGCGTCACACATGCGTGTCTGTGACTTTAAAATCTCCAAATGCTGACTCTGAAAGTTCTAAGGGCTTCGGCGATGCTTTGCGTGGGTGCGGTTACCATATGGCTGGCCCCTCCTACAAAGATCAACTGTTCAATCGTCATTTAAGCATGAATATTGGAGGCTTTGTACCCCAGGCGGTGCGGGGGCAGCAGGCTGGGCGACAGCCAGGGCTACTAGAGTTAGATAATGACAGTGAATCTAAAGAGTGACTGCTTGTTACAGAAGTAAGGAGAAGCTTCTCGCTGACGGGCTTCTGCGAGTTCTGCTTACCCCCCATTTCTGCCATTTCACTACCAGATTACCTCATTCCCTTCGTTACTGTCATGCCTCATGAGTTTGACTCATGGTCCCAGCCAGTGCCGCTCACCAAGTGGTCAGCTTTTAACATCACCACCTTCATATACTTCGACATTGGGTGGTGCCTCGGCGCTATGGCTGCCCTCTCACTGTTTGTGATTGGCTCAGACACATGCCCAGGGCTGATGCCTAAGACCGTGGGATGGGTCCCCATTCATGTCTCATGCGCCGCTCTGCTATGGTGTTGTGTCTGATGAGCCACAGTTTTTCTGCTGTATACAAGCCCAGCTGTGCAAAACCACACATTTGCAGTATCTCATGTATGCACATCTTAGGGTGTTCCTCTTTTGGAAACCCCATCTGACTGAGATGTACCACTCACAGCACCTTTCAGCCTCTTTTACCTGCTCCTCCAGTCGTGCCAGGGGCTCTGCCGTCTGTCTGTAAGCTGGTTCTGGGCCTAGTTCTGAGCTGCCCCCATCCTCCCAAACAGGCCCGCAGGAAGGAGGTGTTCATCCAGGAGCAGTACGGCTGTGTGAGCCTGACGGACCCTTTCCTAGCCCTGCAGCGGGATGAAGAAGCACGGGGAGGAGCCCAGACGGAGCGACCGGCACTGTGTCTCAGTCCAATGGCTGTGTTGGAGAGCCTGATGGGTCAGTGCCGTCGCATGCGGGAGAACATGGGAGCCCAGCTGGCTGCTGCCGAAAGCCGCGAGAGGAAGGTAGGGAGCCCCAGGAGGGAGCTTGTTTTCCCGACCTATAGGGCGGTGCCGTCATTTGGGTGACTGAAGGGGGTGTGACTGGCAGAGAGGTGGTATCTCCCCTTTGTTTGGTTAGGTAGTATCTCCTCTTTGTGTGGTTAGGTAGTATCTTCCCTTTAAGTGGTTGGGTGGTGCCTCCCCTTTAAGTGGTTGGGTGGTGCCTCCCCTTTAGGTGGTTGGGTGGTGTCTCCCCTTTGGGTGGTTGGGTGGTGTCTCCCCTTTAAGTGGTTGGGTGGTGTCTCCCCTTTAAGTGGTTGGGTGGTGTCTCCCCTTTGGGTGGTTGGGTGGTGTCTCCCCTTTAAGTGGTTGGGTGGTGTCTCCCCTTTAAGTGGTTAGGTGGTGCCTCCCCTTTGGGTGGTTGGGTGGTGTCTCCCCTTTAAGTGGTTAGGTGGTGTCTCACCTTTGGGTGGTTGGGTGGTGCCTCCCCTATAAGTGGTTGGGTGGTGTCTCCCCTTTGGGTGGTTGGGTGGTGTCTCCCCTATAAGTGGTTGGGTGGTGTCTCCCCTTTGTGTGGTTAGGTGGTGTCTCCCCTTTAGGTGGTTGGGTGGTGCCACCCCTTTGGGTGGTTGAGTGGTGTCTCCCCTTTGGGTGGAGTAGCCAGCCAGTATTAATGCGCTTGCCAGATGTGAGCTGTTTGAACATAAATACTGGTGGTTAGCGAGATGGAAATGCAGCGATGTGGGGGAACTGATCCAGCCTGTAATTGTGTTTCTCTGGCTCTGAATCTGCTACTCACACAGTGGGAAACAGAATAATCAAGCTCATGTACTGTAGTCACTGGCTGGATTCAATATGCTGCTATGGCCATCAGTAATGGCTCACGTCGTCGTCATGGTGACAATCCTGCCATGTGGTGTTTGTTATGGTCATCTTAACATGGATGTTTACAGCAGTACTAGCCGCCGTTAACATTAAGAAACCCACGGTCAATTGCCGGGTTAATAAGCACCATTTCGGTTAATGCTGACCTTACTAGGGTAGTTAACTTGGCCCTCGCCTCCTAGTCCCCACATAGATCTGGATGAATCCTGTTGCTAGGAGAGCATGTACTGTAGGCGTAGAGCTGTGGATGTTGCTGACATGGTTGCTTAGCAACAGCACCAGCACTGACACTGCAGTCCGTCTGCTTTTCAGCTGCAGGAGGAGAAGCAGCAGCTGCAGAGCCTAGAGCAGGAGCACAGAAAGCTGTCTGCGCAGCTGAAGGAGGAGCGTGAGAAGAACAAGCTGGTGGTCCTGACACTGGTGCGCGAGTACCGACATCTGGCCGCCCGCACTGCTGAGGATGCCCATCGCCATGACGACATGTCCACGTGCCTCCAGGAGGAGCTCAGCGCCGAGCGGCTCAGGGTACAGCGGATGGAGGCCAGGATGGAGGAGCAGCTCTCGGAGATGGACACGGAGCGCGGGCAGCTGCAGGCACGGCTGGCCAGAGAGGAGGAGCATAACGCCCAGCTACACTCGGAGAATAGTGCTCTCAGCAGACAGCTGGAGCATCTGGGCGTGGGCAGGGAGCCCAAGGCCTATGCCTCTGTTGCTGTGGGAACAGACGTGGAGGACCGCAAGGCCGCCTCTTGCCAGACGGAGCCAGTGCCGGCAGAAGCGAGCATGGCAGCATCCAAGACAGCACCCCTGGCTACAGCCGCCAAGCCCCCTGGTTCAGGCTATGCGGGCCTAAGTCTCCAGAAGTCACACAGCACACAGCGCCCCCTGCTGGCTGAGAACGGCCCATGCGGGAGCGATGCCCAGTCCAGCTCACCCCCCACGCAGCCCGTGGGTGTCGGCTCCCGCATCCAGGCCACCCGCTATAAGTTCCAGGCGTCCCCATTGGAGCCGGACCAAAATGGCGCCACCCCAAGCAGCCCCCCATCCCGGGACCTGTCCCCCAGCAGCCGGGACAGCCTTGCCGCCAAGCAGCAGGCCCGAAACACTGTCACTCAGGTTCTATCCCGGTTCACTAGCCCCCCCACCACCAGTGCCGTGCGGCCTGGTCTTCCCCACTCCACCTCAGAGGGGGGGCCCTTCCCGGGCCGGCTAGGCCACCACCAAATTGGCACTAAGACCCCCCGAGGGACCCCGCCCCCCATCCCCCCTAAAAAGCCAGGCCTGTCTCAGACCCCCTCACCCACTCAGCCATGTGTTAAGCTGGGGCCCGAGGCCAGCCGATCCCCCGCTATGGGAGGCCCCCTCAGAGCCGCCACCCCACAGCTGGCCCCTAAGCCTGCTCTCGAGCTGGGGGGCCCCGTTCCAGCCCTGACCACATCTCAGGTGGGTGCCTGCCCCCCCCAGCCACGGGGGCCGCACCAGGGAGCATGTGCAGAGTGTCCCCCCGTCGGCGCGGTGGCTCCCAGTAGCTCCTCCTCCATAAAGCCCATTAGTGCCTCATCCTGTAGACCGTGTGAGACAGAGCGCCCCCTGGCAGCAGCCTCAGGTAAAGCTCTTACACTGGCTCTCATAGCTGGCTATGTTACAGGGAGACATGGGGCAGATGTCGGATGCTGTTGGGGTGTCACACATAGGTGCCGATTTTCCTCCTTTCCTTCTTTCACTCCTCGGAGGCTTTTGCTCCTCCTGCTCTGCTGTTAACAGAGGGATGTTAAGCGAATGCCAGTGTAGTGATGGGTTTGTCAGTCCAGCCTGGGCCCACAGATGGGTTCCGGGTCCATCAGAACCCGACCACGCTCTGATGCTGGTGCCAGAAGCTGCTCTGTCCCTCCTGTCCCCTTTTGTCGCATGCTGTCCCCAACGTCCGGAACATTATATCTGTGTAACCCACGCCTTCTGGGTGCTGATAATTGATTGTCATTATTATGGTTCATTTGTTGTTTCATCACATGCAATCATGGGTCACATTATACATGAGGCATGTGAAATTCCTAATGCTGTATGTGCTGTTAATAGCAGTTATTTTCACCTTTAAAAATCTGTAACAAAATGCTAAATCAAAGTTTTATTAGTCACATACTCAGTTATACTCAGTGCAGTGTGCAGTGAAATGCTTGGTTGCCCAGCTGCACAACTGAAACAGGGGACATGCATATAAACAGTTATTAGACATTAAATAATGAGCATAAATACCCATAAGTATTGCACAGTTAGCAGTAAAGTGACAGGCGTTAGTACAAGAGTCTAAAGAATAAATAAGCCTGCATTTACACATGTAAGCTGTACATGTATGTGCTCAGTAGCTGCACATTAGTCATGCACAGATCCTATAGGCTGTGCTCATTACAGACCATGGCGGGCAGCCACTCTGCTGTATCTAACTGGCTTCGCGCCCCTTATCAGGCACTTTGTTGTGCCCTTAAAATGGCTGAAATACTTGAGGTGACACCAAGCGCCAGGTGACAGTGACACACTTTGACTCCTCCCTTACCCTGCCTGCCTTTTGGTCAGAAAAAAACTCCTGGCTGATGTTCTCTGGTTCATCCACATGGGGAACCACTCCAGAGGCTTCCATCTCCCCATACCGCAGCCTTCCTCACACGCTGTGTGGTCGATATGAATCCACGGTTTTCCTCGCCGTCATCCTGACCACTACATGCTACATGCTAACACAGTCGCTTCTCTCCTTTCTGCTATCCCACGTGAGCCTCTACTCTCTGACTGCTCCTGCATGTCTCTCCGCACGTTTAGCCTCACCTCCTCACTGCTTCTCACCCTTCTACATCTTCAATAAATATATCCTTCTGTTTATCCTCTGCTCCTTATCCATACATCATACACTATACATTGTTTAGGACAGTGTAACCAGATGTTCTCTTCTATACAAAAAAATGTGCATTGTTCATTGACTTACACTTGCGTAAAGAGATTATCTTCCACTTCCATGCAACTCATGAGTAATGCTGGCATCTCGAGGTGCGTGTGTGTTCCCACTGAACCGGCCCTACCTGATTCTCCTGACATGGCTCAATGTGCTGTTTGTGTTTGGCTGTCTCCCAAACGCGCCCTCCCTGCTCTTCCAGCATTCTTCAGCCAGAACAGTTCCCTTAAGACTTGCAAGGTTTATTTTGTCCTGCCGCCATTGGGGAATAGTTCAAATGTATAGCAGGAACAACATACGGGTGTAACGAATTAGTTAAATTCACTGGTTTATCAAATTCACTGCTCAAAGGCAGCTTTAGTTAAGATCTTGGCAGGACACTGCTTAGATCTGCTGATGTGCAGCTCATAATGTATCTGCAAGCTTCTGGACCAGGGACCTGGTTGATTGGACACACTCGTCCCATTTGACCTCTCTGGCTGGAGAGTAGTGGCAGGCCTGTTGGGGTGGGGCTACCGCACACTCCTCAGACTCTTTCTACATTGCAGGCTGGCGTCTCCCCGTAGCCCCCCTGCCGACTTATGGTGGCCCCTCACCCCTGGACAATGGGCTCACCCTTCTTCTGCAAGCTGCTATCCAGGGAAACGTCACTCTACTGTCAACACTGCTAAACCAAGACCCAAACGATGAAGACGGGAGATCTGCCTTGTTCTCTGCTGCCCAAAGCGGTCATGCTGGTAAGTGGTGGGTGACAGAGACACTCCACACTCTGCCGTCAAGCTGCTTCAGGCCTCTCCGAGCAGCTCCACTTCAAGATCCATGTTTCATGTGTGTGCAACAGGAGTATTGGTAAGCTTACCCATACTGCTAAACACAGTTATGTAATACAAAAGACAGAACAATGTCTAGGATTCTGCGAATGAGATATATACTAGAGGTGCGAGTATTTTATGCTGGGAGTAGCGTTTAGTGATACACGAAGGGCTGCGATCGTAACGAAGTGTAAGTGAGACTGTTGCCAGTGGGAGATAAATTGTGGGGCATTTTAAGCCTTCGCCATTTGCGTATCCTCGCTTGGAAGACATTCATAGTGAACTGCAAATGCCTCAAAAATGCTTAAAACAAACGAGGTGGAACAGAAGGTGGGTATGTATGTATTTAGTAGGCTAATGAAAGATTTTTGGCATACAGTTTTCATTTGTATTTAGTAGTTTAAAAATATTTTTATAAAGTATAAATATATATTCACTATATTAAAGTAAAAAGAACTCATATCGGAATCTGTGTCGGTATTGGCAGTTGTGTATTGGAATGGGATCGGAACTGAAAAAATGTGCATCGGCCCCTCCCTAATGTATACCCCTGGGCGTTTGCTGCTGCTCTGCCAAAATGTGTTTGTTCTCGCTGAGTTAAAGCCGCCACTTCAGTACATTAAGCCAATCCACCTGCATTCTCTCATTATATAGTCTCACATTAGTCTGTTGAATTACCTCTAAATGATTCACTCTATATGGAGTCTAGATAAAGCAGTAAAGTATGAATGTCTTGTAAAATGGCTGCATCTTGCTGTGGCTCACTGATGTCTCCACCCCCTCTCAGACTGTGTCGATCTGCTGCTCAAAGCAGGGGTCCCTACAGATGTTCCCCATAACAACGGATTTACCCCATTACACGCGGCCGCCTCCAATGGCCACACCAGGTGGGTGTTATGTTTTGTCCCCCTGTTCTGGGATTGGGGGCCTAGCCTCACACTGACCTCACGCAGCTCTGCGCCCCACCATCTTGCTTGAAGGCATCCAGCTCTCAGCTGCTTCATGTAATGATGGATCACCACACAAGGCGCTATAAAAAAATTTGAATTGGTGTCAGTCGGGCTCATTCTGAACCTCGTCATAGACTTTGCTCAATGCTAAACATACATTGAGCTCATATGAGACATTCTCTGATGTCTTCTGCTGCCGACGTTCTCCTCCTCCATGTGTCCAGGTGTGTGGAGCTGCTGGTTCCCCATGTTGACATAAACCGGGCCGCAGCAAGTGGGCAGACACCCCTGTTTCTGGCCTGCAGGGCTGGAAATGGCGATTGTGTGCGGGCTCTGCTGGATGCCGGAGCCGACTATACAGCAGTGACTGAGGTGCGTTCTGGGCCCACCCAGATCCCCCTGAAAGCCCTCACAGCACATTTTCATCTCACGCCTTGTGTGGGCCCACAGCGTTTGTGTTTCCATATCACTGGGCCAGCACACTCTTGGCTTGGCATCATCATATTAGTGTTCATTTGGTCATGATATCATAAAGTGGCTCTGTGTTTCCAGAAGGGGTCCAGCAAAATTTCGGAGATCATTTTCCATGACAAAGCATAGCTGCTGGCAGTAAAGTGCCTCCACATCTGTACCTTGCAGGATGGCTGCACCATGCTGCATGCGGCAGTCAGCTTGGGGCACGTGGGCGTCCTGGAGCTCTTGATGCAGCACCCAGCCCCTGGCACCACCCCACCTGCTGCCCTGCTCAACCACACGGACCGGGATGGCTGGACTGCGGCCCACATCGCTGCATCCAAAGGTTTCAAGGTGTGCAGCTGTGTTGAGAGTCAAGATGCCAGTGCCTCTATAGCTGCAGGTGTTCTGAGCTCGAGAGTCGGGACACCGGCGCCTCTGTAGCTGCACGTGTTCTGAGCTTGAGAGTCGGGACACCGGCGCCTCTGTAGCTGCAC